TGAACGTGAGCAAAGTAATTAACACTTGCCTATATAAGTAAAAAATAAATAAATAATTGAAAATAAATTAAATAATAAGAAATAAAAAAAATAAATTAAATTTAAATTTAAATAAAATAAAATAAAATGAAAAAAATAAAATTAAATTAATGTGTTGCAGGATTGTTTGGGTAAAAAAAATTAAGTAAATTAAAAAACTGAATGTGAGCAAAGTTATCAACATTTGCTTATATAAGTAAAAAAAAAAGTAAATAAATTAAATAATAAAATAAAAGAAAAGAAAAAGAAAAATACAATAAAATAAAATAAAACAAGGTGGGGAAAAAAATATGTCTCTTTAGTTCAACGTCTGCCCGGTCACGTCTAACACAGCAGCGGCAGCTAACATCAACCCAAAAACAACACCTTGTTAAACCTGTTAATAGAGTGCCCTTGGGCCTGATGTTAGCGTCGTACTGGTTCCCTTGTCAAAAAGCCAATGGGATTTGGATCACTGCAGAAGATAAGCTCTGTGGCAAACAAACATTTATGACACCGACTATTTTGTTGAGATAATCTTCACAAATAAACACCACTTATGTGATTTTTGAAGCCTAAATGCAATCGCCAGAGGTAACAAGCTAACGTCAGGCTTTCAACACACCACACTATGGTCACATGACCTAAAGTCACCACCATAACAAGGCTGTAAAGCCAACAAGACTGTATCCTCATTTAGCCAAGTGTTAAAAACCGCTTAGCAACCGCCTTTTTTAAGACACACAGAAGCTTCAAAGTTCACTTGTGGGGTATTTACTGACGTATTTTATGTTTATGTGAGATCTGATTTCAGGCATCCAACCAAAAACCTGTTAAATAAACCCATTAAGTGTTAAAATGCAAACTCATTTTTGGGTTTAAGGGCTCATCCCTGCAGCACTTTATAGCCATTAGACAACGTTAGCCATGTGATGCTAACAGTTAGCCTTGTCATCGAGTGTTTGCCTGTGGACTCTCACAAAGTACCCCAGGCCTGGAGCTCACACTCTTGCAGCAGTCTCATGATGAAGATGTTTTGGCACAGTTGGTTTTCACACCTGATATGACCCGTACCTGAGTACACATGACCCGTACAGAGAGACCACCTTTTCACGTGGACTCAGGCACAAACGGACGCACCATGCTCAGGTCTGGTACATAGAGTTCACACTGAACAAACGAACCGGACTTTGGGGTCAAGTGTACTCAGATCTGGGTCCCTGATGAGAAAACCTCCTTAGAGTCTTGGAAGTGATGAGGTCAAAAGGTCAGAGGGTAGATGGTGACCTTTTGTCAGCTATAGGCGAGAGCTCCCATGGCTCCTGTTGCTGGGACACCACGTGAGGCATTCCAGGGACACACAAGAGGGCTTTGTTTGTCTTCCTGTTCCCATCAGTGTGCGTTTGTGTGAGAGAGAGAGAGCGAAAGACGCAAAGGCAGAAATGGGAGGCCACAGTTTGAATCTTAAACCATATCAGAATTAAAATCACATGTTCATGACATTTCTAAACGCACGGTGGCCCTGTGCGTACAGAGGCGTGTTCCTGCATACCTAACCATGAGCCTCCTGCTGCACACAGCCATTGTCCCAGCTCTGATGCATCAGACTACTGAACACACTGATAAAGACCATTGTCTGCT